TAAGAATATTAAATAGTTTAATATTAATATTAAAAACTGATATTTTTCGTGTTTGTTTTGAAAACACGCTTATTATTACGATTTTAATAATTATTAAATCTAAAAATTTAAAACAGTTTTCATTAAATGCCAATAAGCAGAGACACCAAAGTAAAACGCAGATGTAAAAAAAATATTCTGAAACAATGTTATTTAAACTCCCTTTAATTACGTATCAGAAGATGAGATTGAGAATTGTTATTTTTGTTTTTTATGTAAAAATTTGAAAACAAAAATAAAGTTGCTTTATATATGAATGATGAACACAAATATTCAATTAAAAAAGAAGAAGAATCTATACTCTATGATTTTTGTGAAAAATCATTTGATTCACTCAACAAATTGACGTGTTATTGTTTTTTGATTACACAATTAGAAAAATGTAAATCAATAGTGAATAAATATAATTTTAAGAATACAACTGGTCTAAATGAAGAAAGTTTCGTATTATTATTAAGTTCTTTTCAGACCAAAATAAAATGTTTGTTGAAAATTAATGAACAACACCAAAGACTTGTAACAGATGACGTTCAATTTAGAACCCAATTATTATCTAAACTAAATGAAAATTTATCCACAAAATCAACAATATATTGAGCTGAATGTATGAGAGGTGGTTATTCTGGAAAAACATAACGTTGAGGATTTAGAGGAGGCATGGGAGTTAGACTTTATTATCCAACAAATATTTCAAGTGAAAATGAATCAAATTTATCATCCAATATATTTGAACAAACACAACCAACAACACCTCCAACACAAAATATTCAACAAAATAACACTATACTTTTTTCTACTGATAATTATATTCAAAAATATTCAAATTCACCCAGTTTTATTCGTTCCGAAAACGATGATAATACACAATTTATACAAATGGAAAAGTTGGTCGATGAAAATAAAAACCCACCACTACAAATTCCATTTACAGAAAATGAGAAAAAATAATACCTAAAATTGAATGTTCAGAATAAATATTTTTCTAATGGGGAGACTCGGGATGTTTTTAAATTTGCCGCAGATATCAAAAACATTAAAAGATCAAAAAATGAAACATTGAAAAATTTATTTTTGAGTTTATTTTATTATTTTTGGTGTAATTTCTGGTTCTTGTGGATTTTCAAAAAACGATAATTCAAAAGTGAGGGAATTGGTGTATTTTATTTTAGCTATATTAATAAAGGATGATGATAACGAAAACGCAAGTTTAAGCAATAGTATAATTATGAGAAGACTCAATTTAATATCAAAACAACAAAAAAAATCAGTTGATTACAAAGTTGAATAAAATAAAAAGTTTTTGTATTATAGCAGATTCAGCAAAATATGGTATTGAAGAAATATTTTCTTTGTTTTTTGTATTTTATATGAAGATTCAAAAATTGAAAAAAATATAAGCAACTGATAAAGTTAAATGCAAACCAAATGCATTTTCTTGGTTACAATGGATCGTGGAAACTTTAACTGGTTATTCTATTTTAATTTCGTTTTGTGAAGCCATGTGTGTTGATGGCGCAGAAGTTATGAAAGGGGAAAACAATGGTTTGAATGGAAAAATGCAGCAATTAATAAAAATGGTTGATAAAAACAAAACCGAATTTAAATGTAATTACTGTTGTGTACTTCGATTAAACAAAGGATCAGAAAAACCTTTCGATTGTGAAGAATGCAAAAATGAAAAAAGGTTTTGAAAACTTTAACATGTGATAATAATAGAAATAAATATTCATTTTTTTGTTCAGAATTGGGAATTTGTGAGTATAACACACAAATACCAATTTATTGCAACGTAGGGTTTGTGTATATTGTTTCAATAAGCAATTTTGTAATTGACAATTTGGATACAATTAAAGAATTTGCAGAAATCAATTTGTTGTTTTCGGGTCAAATTTCTACTATTTACAATGTTGGTGAGAAATCATTCTCAAATAACAATTTCATTGCTTTAATTTTTTCATTGATTTTCTATTAACAAAAGTAAAATTTATTATTGAATGGATACAAACTCCAAATTTGTTTTTACCTGTGGTAATTGATAGGATTGATCAATTAATCAAATTTATGTTTGATTATCGAATTGAAATTATGAATAAATCTGAAAATTGTTCGAGCTACTTTTTCTGTTCGATATCAAAAACGAATTTAAAACAAAAATGTGGGTTTGTGTATTAAAATTATAACTCAGTTTATTCAATCTTTTGTCTTTCGATTTAGTTTGGCACTTAGAAAATTATCTAACGCTGAAATTGATACAATACATTGAAATGAAATGAAATGTTGACTTATGATGATTTTAAATTATTCAGAAAAAACTTGTTACTCGAGATGATGAACTTGAAAGCTTCATCTAATTATATTACTATCCAACAACAAAAATACAAAATTTGCATTATAACGTTGAAATAATGGATGAACTTGTATTGTTAAATGAGTGGTTTAAAATTAATCCAGAAAAGATGGAAAAAATAAAAAATGATCAAGATTTAATAAATCAAAAACAAATCGAAAAAATACAAAAAATGAATAAAAAAGTTAAATTAAAAAAGATATGAAAAATGTATATGAAAACACAACTACTGATACTTTTGAATTAAATGCGATAAAAAGCTGTTCAGAAGAAAGAAAACAAACTTTAATTGTGAATTATTTAAAAACAAAAGAAAAATCAAGAAAAATCAGGAATTATTATCTTGAACAAACTCCATTTCCAATTCATTGTATATTCGTTACATAAAGTATTTTTTCAATGAACAAAGATGAGAAAGGTTTGTTTCCTTTGTTGTTAACAATTACTAGAAAATTGGATGTAATTAGTCCTAGTTCGTGTTGTGTAGAAAGTGGATTTTCTGAAAAAAAACAATTGAACGACCCTCATCTGAAATCTTGTGGAAGATTTGGACGACTTGATGCGCATGGTATCGTTTTAGGTAAATAATATTTTAATAACATTTTAACAACAACAAAAAACAAAAAATTAATTAATTGAAATTTATTATATAACATTTGCAAAACTTGGGCTAGCGTATATGTTGATTTGTTCTGGTAAAGAATTTATGTTTTTTTAAGTCCTTTTCAAGTTTAAACACGGTTTTTTAATGCTTTAAGTGGAAAACTTGTCGAATCCAGATTCCATTTGGTATTTTACCAAAAAGTGTATAATTTTTACCTTTTTGTGTAAAAACCACATTTTACGATTTACACAAAATGTAACTTATTTTTTGGTCCAAATGTTTCTTTAAAACAGTTTTCAACAAAAGCTCAAAAGTTTAATTTAAAAATACCGACTTTGAAGTTTATAAATTAAAAAATAATAAATTCAATTTCAATCCAAAAAATTCAATTCTTCGTATTATCCCGTTTTTTCTCTTATTGTTCTTTTAATGTATTTATTTGTTATTGTTATTGTTTAAATTCTCGTTTATTTCAATTCATTTGTTTATGTTTTTTATCTTTCTATCATTTTCTTTTGAATCTTAACAACAACTGTTATTAATTATTTTTAAATATTATTTGTTCAAAAACAATCATTGAACTAATGTGACATAAAAGACCACAGATTCAATCCGGCTTTTATTTTCAAGTTTGTTTATTCTGCTCTTACTTGTTTTTTTTTCACTTTTTGAATTTTTTTGAGCTTCTTTTTGTTAAAAGAAAATACTATTCGAAACAAATTTAAAAAAACAAAAGCTATATTTAAAGTTTATTTTAATTAAAATAATAAAACATTACAAATATTTTTTTTTCATCTCGAGCAAAATTGACTTTTTTTCAAAAAACAAAGAAAAGATCCAATCAAACCCATTTTCCTATTTATAAAGGGTTGTACTTATTTTTTTCTATTTTGGCTTAAAGTTCAACCAAAGTTTCACAAAATTTACTCACTTAAGTGGGTTTATTCCAAATTAAGTGGTTTATACCACCACTGTATTACAAAAAATGAATATAAAAATATATAAATACAATTCACATTGGGTGGTTATTTATTAGGCTTCGCACGCGAGAATTTTATTATTAATAATTAGTATCTAAAAAAGCTAATAAAACGGGAAAGAAAAATTGACACGTTTTATTAGCGTTTTTCGATACTAATTTTTGATTATATATTTCTCAGGTGCGAAGCCTATTATTTATTAATATTTATAATTAATATACCATTAAACATTATTATAAATTTAATTTTTGAAATAATCTAATAATAAAATATATTCATTTTATTGATTCATATTAATGTATAACTTTTAATTAAATAATTATTAGACAAATTGCATAACAGTATAAACATAATACATACTCATACAAAAAGTTAAAAAGATATATATTAATAAAATGAATATCTATTATTTGTGCGACAGTTTTAGAATTATTTGTTGTTATATAATAATTTTGGGTTTTAAATGAATAAAATCGGGAATATTAGTAATTATAGTAAGGAATTGTCCAAACAATTAAAAGTTAACAATTTAACATAGTATAAAGACACAATCTTTGTTGTAATATTATCAAGTCATTAAAGATTTTGCTTATACAATAATATCTACAATTTATAGACAAGTTCTTTTTATTCAAAAAATACATCTTAAGTTAGAGTTTACCAGAAAATGTTTATCATTTAGATGTTTGACAATTTAAAATCTTAAAATTTTGGAATTTTTTTTGTTTTTTAATTTTTTTTTCTTTATCCTGAAATTTTAGCTTAATATTTGACTTGTCAATTTTTGTCTCGGCAATTTTGAAAAAAGAAATAACATTTCTTATATTTTATTATAAAATATTTCTATTTGATTTTTTAAAACAAAAAACTAGGTTAAATATTTTTTACTTACAAAATTGATTTTGATCGTTTTTTTGTGTAAATACTTAA